GGAGGAGGAAAGTGTGTTAGCTCCATCCAGGAAAAATGGCCCCTTCCCCATGGGTTTCCACACGTGGCCCCTCCCAAGAAGTCCGCAGCAGTTACCTGGTGCATCTGAAGGCAGTGGGCGGCCCCCAGGCTCTGGCATCATTGCTCAAGCCACGCCTCCTCCCCCTCCCTCTCCCTCCAGAGTGGCTCTCCATCATTAGTTCCACCCTCTGCCCTTGCCCCTGTCCCTTCCCCTCCATCCCTGGCACACCTCCATCCTGTGTGGGGCCCGCAGGTGCCCTGGCTCCTAACCAACGCTTCTGCCTGAACAACCACGCCGGGAATCTCCTTTGTCCAAACCTTACAGGAAGAAGAAGAAGAAAGGATGGGTCAGGAGCTGGTGGCTCACGCCTGTCACCCCAGCTGCTCGGGAGGCCGAGATGTGAAGATCATAGCTTGGAGCCAGCCCCAGGCAGGAAATTTGTCTGTGGTCTGTGAGACTCTTCAATTCGCTACCAAAAAGCTGGAAGTGGAGCTGTGTGGCTCAAGTGGTAGAGCACCTGCCTGGAGCGAAAAAGCTCAGGGGACAGCACTCAGGTCTTGAGTTCAAATCTCAAGACATTCTCTCCCTCCCTCCTCCTCCTTTCCTCCCCCCCCCTCACACACACACACAAAGAACTTGTGCAAATCTGGATGCTGGTGGCTCACACCTGTCATCCTAGCTACTCAGGAGGCTGAGAGTTGAGGATCACCGTTCAAAGCCAGCCTGGGCAGGAAAAGTCCATGAGACTCTTGTCCCCCCCCCCAAAGAGGGGGAAAAAACTGGAAATGAAGCTGTGGCTCAAGTGGTAGAGCATTCACTTTGAGAGAAGTTTGGGGACAGTTCCTGGGTCCTGAGTCAAGCCCCAGTATTGGCGCAAAAAATATATAAAATATGATCAAAGATCATATAGATTTCTTTTTTTGGGGGGGGTCCAGTCGTGGGGCCTGAACTCTGGGCCTGAGTGCTGTCCCTCAGCTCTTCAGCTCAAGGCTAGCACTCTACCACTTGAGCCACAGCGCCACTTCCAGCTTTTTTCTTTTTGC